AGTAGTAAAAAAGATAAAAGACAAATTGCGGTTTAATCTTTATTACCTCTTAATTAACATAGGGGCAGTTATATGTCAAAAAAAACATAGGGGCAGTCATAGTGTTATACGGAATAAGTGACAAAAAAAATTTAAAACAAAAAAACATAGGGGCAGTTATAGTGTTATACGGAATAAGTGACAAAAAATTTAAAACAGAGGGCCCTACCGGGTTCGAACCGGTGACCTCTTGATCTGCAGTCAAATGCTCTGCCACTGAGCTAAGGACCCCGTTGGTATTGAAGACCAGAAACTTTATTTTAGTATAGTTACCACAGTCTCTCTAGTAAACTCCGATTTCATACCCGTGTAGTGATCATACAGCAGCAAGATTGTTTCAAACTTTCAATACTCATTCCTTTAAATCTCTCTGCCTCGCATAGGGGATTGAGGCAATTAAAAATGAACTCAATATTCCAATTCAAATTCTGGTGTTTGCTAGCATATAAATATGTAATTTGAAATTAAATTACGCAATATTACTCTAAATTTTCTAGTTCCACATTTTCAATTTCACAACACACAAAAAAAATTAAAATCTAGAATTTGAATTCTACGAGACAAAATGAGATTATGTGGATCCTTTCTAGATCATAACAAAGACAAAATTCTTGTAAACTTTCGTTGTATTGGGATAATAGTTTTGACTCCTGTAACAGACTTTCACTTCTTTAACTAATCAAAGGAGCCAAATTCAAAATTACAAACTTAAAATTTTAAATTAAAAAATATAAATTTGAAATTAGAAATTTCAAAACTAAAATTTTAATTTTAATTTGAAAATTTAAAATTTAAAATCAAACTTTAAAATTAGAAATTAAAAATTAAAAACTAAAAATTCAAACTTAAAAAGTAAAAACTTAAAAATATGAGTAAAAACTAAAAATAAAAAAATTAAAAACTAAATACTAAAAAAAGTTAAAATTCAGAATTTAAAATTAACTTTTAGAAACTAAAAAAATAAAAAAAAATATGAATTTAATATGGTTTGCGTTTCGTGGTAGACTACCTATGAAATAAAACATGTCTTTCATTAACATGCTCAGACATGTCTCTGTGGTAGTGGAGTTGAGGACTTAGAGCTTGTTCTTTTGCATTTATTTTTATTACTCGTTACTTATTCTTTTAGAAATTATATCAAATCAGACGAAATCAAATCAGATCATGTAGAAGTTTAACATGGAGGAAGTATAACAATGTGAAGCAGCGTTAAGGAATCTTGTAATTGAAAGGACGAGAATAAAGACTTGATAGATAATAATGAATTGCGGAGAACATTTTCAAAACAAAGTTATTCTGGAGTATACTAAAATTCTTTAATTGGATAAAACATTAATTAAATAGCAAGAACATCGAAATCAACCCCTCAACCATACTTGCTACTCTATATTTGTAGAGAAGAAAAAAACATGGCCAGACATGTTCATTCACGTGATGACGTGTTTCTGCGATTTGGGTTAAGTTCGGGCGTATATCCACACATTTGATTTTTAAATGTTTTAGACTCTGTTCACGAAAACTTAAAAGATTTTCATAAAATAATGATTTCAAAAATAAAAATTTTCCAGACCGCCGCCACTTGGGCCCTGCTCCTTGCAGCTGCCCCCCTCTGACCACTGTTATGATTTTTTTTATATTGTTGAACAAGCGCGCAGTGTGCACCTCATAATTCCTTTGGCAATGCCTATTCAAATTCTCGTTTAACCAAGTAAATCCAATTTCACAAAATAATCGATAACACTAAAATTACCAACATACGAGATCATATCAAAATCTGTTTCAATCAGATCATGTGAAGAGAACATATTCTTAGCACACCTTTTCTTTAGTGTGAAGTTACGTCATTAGGGATGTAACACCCTAATTCGTTCAGGTCTGCAGCCCCTTTCTGACTAAAGTATTTATTTGATAACATCACAATTTAAAACTTCATTTCAAACAACTGTGCAAAATATTTTGGAATAATATCGGAGTATATTATGGAAGCGATTTGCAAATTACAATAGTATGATCAGCCCATAATTTAACATGAGATAAAATCATTTACTTAAATAATAAGTTTGTGCACGTTTACGCATCGCCTTCATATAAGTACCCTCCAGGATAGGGTTCACATTTATTCTCTCTCATATCTACGTGTAGAAAGATGAAAAAATCTACACGCTTAGCAATGAAGCTCAGTGGTACCATGGTACAATAAAAGAATTCACAGAATAATTTCTCTCACAATATCAATCACATATATCTCTTCAAACATTCACCTTTTCATATTCAAAACCGTCTTTGTTATTTTGTAACGAATATAGTCAACTCACAAATATCCATTATTCAAATTTGTATAGATGTCAATCCTCATCTTACAATAACCACGTGTCATTTTAGTTATCACATTATTCATCATTTGTCACACATAAGTTCATATCAAACTTTATCATAAATAATTATTTTCAATTCATTATAGGCTATGTCCAAATTATAACAATACTCTTAAATTATTCTTAGTCTAAAGTTAAATCAAAATAGTGCTCTAAGACTAATTTAAGGCAAAACACAAGAATCAATATTCCATCATATGAGTCTTAAAGGTAACACTCAAAATTGAACATTGGTCTGCTCATCGTCGGGTTGGGTGGTACCCCCAAATGAGTAAGTACTCAAATTTGATTTGTGGATCCCATACATATGTTTTTACCCTGACCACCGGACATTATACTCGCAAGGTCTAACTAAATTGGTCACATGAGGTCTATTTTAAAATTCATCTTGATAGCCTTAATTATCCACAAGACCACAACCATTATTTAAATCAAGATATTCATACAAACATATTCAATCATAACTACCGTACGGTTTATTTGTTCAGAATAATATTTTGATATTTAATCATATTTATCACAATATTTAATAGTTATTGGTTGATCAAGATATAATCATTATTGTCAACCTATAGTATCCTATCTACAGAGGTATAATCAATATTAATCATCATGATACAACATTTAACAACAAATTACGGCATAGCGTTGAGCGTTACCACTCTAGCTTACCGTCATGCATCATTTTAAGTATTATAATTAACCAAAATATTACTTTTAACTTGGTAGTGATAACTATATTGTAACGTCCTAAAAATCGCTCTAAAAATTTTTAACTTTTGAGTATAAATAATGAAATCATTATCAAAAAAAAATTTAAAAAAATAAGTGTGAAAAAATGTTACTAAAAATGTCACTGTTCTTTATTTTTTAAAAAATAAAAATAAAATAATAAATTGGAATTTAAACTTTAATAATTAATAATTATTAGAGGTGGTGAATGAAAGAGGTAGGTTTGGCTTTTAGCTATATAATTCTTGAATAATGTCTAGTGACAGAAACAATGTCCAGTAATATTGGATATTTAGTTTGAACGATGTCTAGTGGCGATAAACATTTATTTGAACAATGACTAGTGAACATTGAACACTAGTCACTATTTTTTAGTATTATTTAAGTAATTTCCCTCCTTTTTTTCCCTATGGATTGCAATATTATTTACATGTCACCCAAAAAATGCAATGTAATCCTAGCTCAATGATTGCTAACAATATCCTCAGTCCACTCTTTGATATCAGACCTTCCCACAAAGAAACTCTTGAATTCTTGTTACTGCCTTTATGGAGGATTAATGATGAAAATCTTAACTTTCAGTTCATTGCTTAATGGTTACATTCCTTGTGTAATCCAAGAGGAAACCGCCAAATGGCAGAACTTCAACACCATTCTTCTAGCCATCAAAGGTTGAACGGATCTTCGGGTCTTCCCGGCCTGAAGAAGAGGGGGCACGGAACCGGAAGCCGGTCATGGATAAAGATTGATCGGAATGGGAATTCAAAGATCTTGGAACTGGACAAGGCCACGGTGATGAGGCACTGTTCTTTGCCAGCTAGAGATCTGCGTCTTCTGGACCCGATGTTTATTTATCCCTCGACGATTTTAGGGCGAGAGCAAGCCATTGTTGTGAATCTGGAGCAGATCAGATGCATAATCACAGCTGAGGAGGTCGTACTGATGAACTCTCTCGATGAAAGTGTGCTCCACTACAAGTCGGAGCTCTGCAAGCGCCTTGAAACAAATAAAGATCAGTCCGGTAAAGTGTTTGAGATTAGCGTTAGCCTCCCAATAATCGGCATGGTTGGGAATAGTGTTAGAGATTAGCGTTAGCGTTTTGAAAATGCTATCTACGGGTAACGTTTAGCGTGCTCAAAGTCAATCTGTACAGTTAAAGTTTTATCTAAAACACTAACGCTAATCTGTAACGCTATTCCCAAACAGGCCCAATGTTTTGTGTTGAGTGTAATCTTTGATGCGTGTTGGACGGAGCAGAGTTATTATATGATTTCAATTTCTTTCTTTCCATATTTTAGAAGTTAGATCTATGGTAGGAAAAAGAATTGTGGTATTTAGAAGATTCTTGACTAGCTTTTTATTTCAATTCCACCCAAATCAATTCTATAGAATTTCAACTTCTAATTCAATTCCAATTCCGCCAATTTCGTGTACCAAACGGACCCTTATGGTATTTAGAATATTCTTGACTCGCTGTTTATATCCATTCTGGGATACATAAATTATCAACATTAACAACCTAGATGCATTGTTGCATTTACTTCCCAAAACTTCATAGAGAATAAGAAGCAAGGGAAGTTTAATGCACTTTTGTATTTAGTCCATTATGTGCCCAACTAAAACAATGTCAATGATGACTGTTTTAGTTCCATTAGCAATGGGCGGAACAACAGGAATATTATCATTCTTTTTAATTCTTCACAATGTGCATGTAGTTTTTTTAAAATTAAACTAGATAAAAGCAAACATCTTAAAACTATGTATAGTTTCTTGGTTTTGGTTCAGATGATCTTCCATTTGAATTCAAGGCATTGGAGCTTGCTTTGGAACTGACATGCATGTCTCTTGATGCTCAGGTATGAGTTGTCCATATGTGCATACATTTACTTTGAAAAGATTTTATTCCCCCATGTCCCAAAAGAAAGTATTGTTTAAACACGTATTTTTGGCCCAAAAAAGAGTCGCGCTTGTCCAAAATTTGAAGGGTAACAAGATAAAATGTGAAGAGTAACTAGATTATCCTTCAAGAGCAGTAGGATTGTTATAAGAGGAGTTCAGTGCCATTGATGCAGTTGTAAATTTTGTAGGTGAAAGAATTGGAAATTGAGGTCCACCCGGTTCTTGACGAACTTGCATCATCTATAAGCACTCATAATTTGGAACGCGTCCGTAGATTGAAAGGCCAACTCCTTGCCTTAACTCAACGAGTCCAAAAGGTTAGAGCTCGTTGGGGATGATTTATGATCCAGTGACACTTAAAGTGCTTTTTTTTGAAGAAAGAAACACCAATATAGTGTTTTCTTGACTTCTTGAATATGCATTATGTTGGGAAAGATTGATCTTTCCCGCTTCGTGAAATTAAGATAAGCACTTAGGTATTAATGGGAGCCCAAAGAATTTATAATTCTCCAATGTGGTTGGAGATTCTTCCACTTCACAAAATTGGCTCACACTATGGTGGCTCACTCAATCTTGATGATAGAGACTTCAAGAATGCTCCACACATCCTAGGAATCTCTACAATCTTCCACCCCTTCCATTAGGTTTTACAGCGTTCTGGAATATTTCATAGGATTCCACAAGCTTTTAGAGAGTTCTAAACTTCTCCAGAATTCTCTGGATGATTCTAGAACATTCTGCACTTCTCTTGAAAGCTCTAGAATTTTCTGGTAGAAGCATTTCCGTTCCATATTCCTGTCAAGTGTCAAGTGTTTCTTTTCGAAGTACTTTTCTTCTTCTAAAAACACAGATTCCTTGAAAATACGTCGTCCCAAACACGCTCTTAAACTGTATATTAAGTTTCCTTATTGTTATTATTGTTTTCCTCTTACACTCCCTTCAATTGATCTCCAGGTTTGTGATGAAATCGAACACCTAATGGACGATGATGGAGACATGGCCGAGATGTATTTAACAGAGAAGAAAGAGAGAAGAGAGTGTCTCATTACTAGTGAACAACAATGTGATCGCATAAGCACGTCTGCGAATAACAGATTGATGTCCAAATCTGCTCCAGTCTCGCCCGTGGGGTCGGGTATCGGGGCCCACAGATTGAAACGTGCTTCTAGCAGTATCAGCTCTAGCAGACACGGAAGCTTTTTAAGTTCTTCCAGCAGCAGAGAAAATATTGATCAACTTGAAATGCTTTTGGAAGCGTATTTCGTTGTCATCGACAATACACTCAACACCGTGTTGTCGGTAAGTTTGGCATACACTTTTAATTTAGGGTCCGTTTGGGAGGGGGAAATGACTTCTGGAAGTGGTATTTGTTGTTTTGGAAAAGTGGAGTCAATAAAAAATAATTTTTGAAGTATTTGAAAACTGAACCTCATTTGTAGGATTTTGTCTTTTGCTTTTTGGCGGAAGACATTTTTCACCCATATCTTATTTCTCACATCGAAACTCTCCACGTTTTATTATGTAATACAAACAAAAACCAATTTTTTCATTTTTCAGGCTCTGAGCTGAATGGCATAAAACTAATTTATTTTCCAGAAGTCATTTTTCAGAGCTCATTTTCCAGAAATCATTCCAAAAGTCATTTCCATCTTCCAAACGGACCTATTTAAACCCCAAACTCATTTCCAAACGGATCCATTTAAACTCCAAAAGTCATTTCCATCTTTCCAAATGGACCCATTTCCATGGAAAGATGGAAATGACTTTTGGAATGATTTCTGGAAAATGAGCTCTGAACTCAATATATTTTTGTCTCATAAAAAGAGTCGAATTTGAATTTAAAAAAAGTTAATTTTCATCGTAGTTTACATGGGTAAGGCTGCGTATATCTTGACCCCCAAATCCCAACGAAGTTGGGATTATCCTGAGTTTTGTTTGGTAACAAAGAAGCCAAAAAGAGAGAAATATTTGGCATCAATTTTATTTCTTCTTCCTCATGAAGAGAAGGGGGAGACAAAATGCATTCCTTCTCAATTTTCTCCCTACCAAACACCACACAAATCAACACCATTTCTCTACTCTTTCTTTCTTCTCCATCTCTTTCTCACCAGTTTCTCTCTTCTCCATCCTAAACCAAACAAGTGCTAAGTGTTGTTTGTATATAAGACTGTTTGGCTAGCTTATTACTCTTGGGAGAAGTGTTGTTGAACAAATGCACATTCATTTTAATCAGCACCCATTTTTAGGGCAGCAAGGGCACACACACCCTCTCCAGACCCTACTTTGTGTGTCAATTTATTGGGTTGTTAATGTTATTATTGAAGGGTAACATTGGATGTCGTCATGTCGAAATAGAGGTAGGAATACTTAAGAGAGTTTTTTTAAAGAGCTTACAGGAACTTACTTTGAATATGCAGCTTAAAGAATATATTGATGACACTGAGGATCTGATCAACATTAAACTGGTAACCTCATACCGTGTTACCCCACCCCACCCCCCAAAAAAACTGTATATTCTGAATTTTGTATATTTTTGTCTATCTGTAAAAACAGGGCACAGTCCAAAACCAGCTTATACAATATGAGTTGCTACTCACGGCTGCGACATTTGTGGCAACGATATTTGCTATGGTGACAGCAGTGTTTGGGATGAACTTTGAGGACTCGATTTTCAACGACCCATCGACGTTCAATTGGGTTCTCATTGTGACCGGTGCGTTTTGCGGGGCATTATATTCTTTGTTCTTGATCTATTTCAAACAGAAGAAAGTATTGCCTTTGTAAAAAAAAAAAAAAAAGGAGCCTCTGTCCACATTTGGGTTTCAAAGAATGCTCAGCTCTTGGCTCTCTGTGGTTTTGGAAAAAAAATGCAAAAGTTTAAAAAAAAATTATCGACTGATCGATTTCTTAATTCGGTCTGGTTATTTTGACATCGATTTTGGGTGTCATATTACAACACTCGACCAATTTGAACATCCCTACAATGCTGAATGCTCATTTCGACCCAATCTGCCCCTTGAACCTCACCCCAGCCCTGCCAATTGTGTTCCCCAATACACCACGGTTGACAATACGGATGATAATTGTCTGCAAATTTATACATATGCAGACGATAATCACCTATAAAGTCATAGATGATTGTCACACGCGTACAAATTTACAGATGGTTTTCATTTATGTTGTCAATGGTAGTGTAACCCTAATATGACTCCCTCTACCTAGGACATAGCTTTGAAGAAAAAAATCAGAATTAATGAGAATACATCATCATCATCCATCACTCCTTAAACAGCCAAATCTTCCACTTGGAAATGGAATCCAATTCAACTCCAAAGCATAATTTTTTGCCCAAGAATAGATCAAGAAAATGAAAAAAAAGAAAGTACAAGTGGCCAAGTGGGGATTTTAGTCCACATCACATGATTCCCCCACTTATACACATACATACACTAACATGAAAGAGAACCAAACATTACCCACCAAAGCCAATAAAAACATGGTACCTAATTAGAGTGGTTTTACAACAACTTCCCATTTTTTGACACCACAAATGATCATTGTCTTGTGATTTGTTTCACACCGACGATGTAACCGTCCGTACGAATAAATGTATGAACAAATTCACAGACGACAGTTGTCACTCGTGGTGTCAAACTTGAAATTTTAATAACGATCTTCTACTAATAATACTAATAACTAACAATATACTCCATAATCTTCCTTCTCTTCATATTCACCTTACCTTATAGGCTTGAAAAGAAAATGGTTAGGATGAGAAAGATGAGGGTGGGTTTGCAAAGAGTCGGTGCAGAGTTATGATCCGGTTCACCGCCCATCGGTCCTATCGGACCGGGCGTGCTGCTAGTGGTGTTCCACGGAGTGCCATTATTCCTAAACATTTTAAAAAAGAAAAACTTTAAAATTTCTTTCTTTTTTAACATAGGGAGCATATATACTCATTCGTCGAGAAATTATCTCATTCTCTGTTGCCCAGTTTGAAATTAAAACTTCATTTACCTCCTTTCAAGTTACTGTCCTAGCTGAGCGTAAGGGCTCTAGAATGGGATTCTTTTTTTTTGAATTAGTGGGATGGGAATATTGATAATTTGAGAAAAAAGTGTCAAATGTACTTGACATTCTCTGTTTAGAAATTTTGTTAACCTATGTTCTTTAAAGCTGCTATCATTCCACCAACCATTCCATTATGTAGTGTTCAATTTTCAATGAACTCACTTTCATATTCACTCCCAACCCAAAAAAAACTTTTAATTTGATTTTTTTTTATCTCTGATGTAATTCTTTGACTACTAAACATTTATGAATGCATTTAAATAAATAATACTCCCTCCGTCTTAAAACTTTCTTCCCACTTCCTCTTTTCTCCGTCCTAAAACTACCTTCCCATTAGAAAAAAAAGATGACAAATGACATTAATACCCTCATGTATTTACACCAATTATCTTCTAACTATATTTTGAATGATTGCAAAAAAAAATTTCAAAAAATCTTTTTTAAGGAGGGTAAAATTTGAAGTCAAAGCCAAAAATTAAAAATGGGAAAAAGTCAAACTGGGAAGAAAGAATTAGGACGGAGGGAGTATAAATTTAATATACTCCATATATTCTAAAACCACAATTAAAGTCAAAGTGAATCCAATGACATTAAAATTGGATTAAAATTTAATGCATTTTGTGTGTCAATGATGATCAAATTTTATTAATTTGGACCAAAAATTCATGCGAAATCTTGTGAGTAACATATTCATTCTTTAAAAACAGAACAAAATAAGTGAAAAAAGTGTTTTTTAGGACATCCAAAAAATCGAATGTGAGAAAAGTCTTTTGGGACGGAAGGATATGTGTGAATAGCGTTTTAAAAAGGTTAAATATATTTAAAAATTTTCAGTCTTTATCTAATGTGCAAATAAAGAAGTAAAAAAGTCCTTTCAAAAAACAAAAAAGTAAAAAAGTAAGCTACTCACCCAGCAGTAGATTGATAAACACATGATCCAGCAGCTGAAGCTGCACAAAACAAATTAGTTATTAATAAAACAAACATAAGACCAAAAATTATGCTTCAAAAAAAAAAAAAAGACCAAAAATTAAGATTATAAGAAGAAACATTATTTCAAAATATCATATTTTTATAATATATCCCACGGAATATAAATATAAATACTAATAGTCAACTAGTTATATCGGAAATAATGAAAAATCAAATGAGAAATTATTTCACGGACGGGAAGAATAAAATTTTGGAAATGATTTTTTAGTAGGGTTAAATATGCTTTCCGTCCCTATGAAATGAGCAATTTTTACTTTTAGTCCCTCTAAAATGTTGTTTTATCAAATCATCCTTGTAAAGTATTTTTTTTTTTTGCAAATAGTCCCCCACATCCCTAGAGTTACTTTGTTTTGGTTTAAAAGGAACAAAAACTAAATGGCTTTGGATTTAAAACATTTCACACAGACTAAAAACAAAACCACTAATTTTATAGGGACTAAAAAAATTCAACATTACTTCTAATGTTAAAGTAAATAGTGAAAGGACAATTTGCAAAATAAATAATTTCACAAGGATGACTTAATAAAAAATATATTTTCAAGAGACTAAAGGCAGAAAAATATATTTTACAGGGACCAAAAACATATTTAATTTTTATATTAAAACAATTACATACCGGGCGGGTTTGGGCTGAGGGTAGTAGTCCCAGAGAAATTACAATCAGCCCCAGATGGGCTTTGCCTCTGAAAATAGCTGTTCACAGCATAGCTGCAATGGTCATTCACGGAATTTGGGCTGAAGCAAGGCCCATTTTGAAGGATTGGGCCGCAGTCCGCTCCGCTTCCACACGCAAAATCTATGTTCTTCTGGAGCTGAGACTCTGCAATCCCATCTTTGCACAAACAGTACATTCCCCCTGAAGAAGATAAGGTGAAATTTAAATCTTTGTTATATTTTAAAAAATGTGTAAATTTTTTTTTTACTGTGAAAGAAATCTACCTAAATAAGATTAAAACATGAAATTTATACTGCAACAACAAAAAAAAGACCAGTAAAAAATCAAGCTTGGGAAATGATCCCAAGGGAGAAGAGGAAGTGGGAAATAAAGAAAACCCATACTTGAAGTAGAAGCCAAAGCCAAGAAAAGAACTAAGGAGAGGGCAAAATGGGCCATCATGAGAGCCAAAAGCTTCAAATTATGGAGATTTTTTTTATATAGAGTTGGGATTCGTGGGTAAGGTTTTTAACAGAAGAAGAAGAAGAAGAAGAAGAAGAAGAAGAAGAAGAAGAAGAAGAAAAAGAATTGAAGAAGAAGAAGAAGAGGAGGAGAATGAAGAAGATGATGAAGAATTGAAGAAGAAGAAGAAGAAGAAGAAAGAGGTGATTTATTAAATGTAAAGGTTACAAAGGGGTATAGAGTGTCTTTTTGTGAAAAAATGTGAGGGAGCATCTCAAGGCCTGCTTTCTCTGTGTAGCCTCTGTTTTTTGACATTTTCTTTGGAAGGATGTTAGGGGTACACCTGTACTCCAAATGTACACAATCCATATCCCTACCACTTATTTTTATTTACTCCCTCCGTCCCTAAATAGATTACAATTTTATTTTCTCTCTCCTCTCGATAATTTTTGTTTGTTTACGCGATTTCTTAAGGTATTTGATAAAATAAAATATTCTTGTCGCCTCTTGTTTTGTAAAACTTTTGACGAATTTTTTTAATATGTAATTCTTATATCTTATTAATATACCAATTTGTAAATAAAATGATTTTAAAAAGTAGAAAATTTTACTCCGTAACCCGCAATTTGTAATCAAATTGGGGACGGAGGGAGTATTTATTTCTTGTTTAATTTATTTGCCAATATATGTGGCATTGGAGGGGGTGGTGTACATTTGGGGTACACTTTTGGTGTACCCCTAACATTTTTCTTTTCTTTATAGTGTCTCTGTCCTATTGTATTTTTTTTCATTTTTTTTTGAGTCAGGTTGAATGAAATTTGAGTTTTAATTACTCTTAATTTATATTGCATTTTAGTATAATAAAATAAAATGTTGAAAATTTTCAATAAATAAATCTAGTAGGCTCGTTTATATAGTAACAAACGTTACAGTTTTTGTTCAATTGAAATCCAAATTCATCAAAAGTCAAATTGGATAAATATATTGAGACTGATATATAGAGTGGGCTTTTAGCTTGCATTGGATTAATTCCAAACCATTAAAGATCATATCTGAAAAAATTAGAGGATGTAAGGTAAATCTGATTCTTTCATTTGGCTCTCGGGTTGTTAAATTAGAGGATGTAAGGTAAATGGTGTAGGTTAAATTTAAAATTACTCAAATTAAATGCTATCAGCAGAGAGTTATTTTCAGAAGTTTAAAATTGAACAATGAAGCTTATGTAAAAAAGAAAGTTTTATGTGGCTAGTTTGGATGTGTACCCAATCAGCAACTTCTCTATCTTTTAAGGGTAAAGTGGTAAAGTGTGGATGTAAATTGTAAAGTTGGCATACATTTTAACTTAACCAGTGAGTTAGAATAACTCTGATCTACGGTTAGTAACTTACTCTTCGTGTCCCAGTCTGTCAGTCTATGGAGCCATTACTGGGATGAAGCAAAGTGATGATGACCCAAGCAGGGTAAACTTACCAAACTATCCTCAGAGGGGAAAATTTTTCGAAAAATGCACTATACTACTCCCTATGTAACTAGGACATTTTTGTCCACAAATGTACTCATCTGGTCCATAGGATAGTTAAGGGACGACCTCAAAATGTGAAAAAAAATGAGATCGACAAAGTGTAAAATTTACAGATCTTATTTTTAATAATTTTTTTGCATTATTTTTTTTGCAGAGTACTTTTGTTTTAAAAGTAGTCCTAAATTTTTAATTTGGTGAGATGAGTCTGATACCAATTTATAACATTAAATTAATTAAGATTGCGGAGAGTAATATCCATTGTAGGACGAATGAACTATGTCTTATATTTGGATACTTGACCAAAATTTTATAAAGAATAAATTTCAAAGCAGTCTTTTCAAAGAAAGTATTTTTTCAAATTAGTTCTCAATAAACAATAGGTATTAACATGGTTCTTTGTAATTGAGATGTATTACCAAAATAATTCTTTGTCAAAATGTCTATTAAATGATAGTTAAGTGGTGAGCATTTTTATATTTTCCATAATCTAAACATTGAATAAGTCTTCAAAATGGTTCTTTCAAATTAAGTATGTGGTTGCTAGAGGAACGGACCCACTTCAAGTAGGCTCATGAACTCCATTTCGGAAAAATATTTACTTTAGAAATTATTAGTTTGGAAAAGTTCTTAATTATAAAGAGACATTTTAGGAACATATTTTAAGTCTAGATAATAGAAAATGCAAAAATATTTTTTATAGTTTTATTTGACTAATGTTTAACAGATATTTTTGAAAAAAACAAATTTTATGTATTCACTCATTTCTAAAAGTGTTACTTTTAAACAAAGTGTAAAGTGGTGTAGGTGGTGAATTCCCTACTGGTGTAAAAAGGATGCAGAGCATTCCTTTATATGCTCTTTCATTTCGTTTTTTCCAGAATAAAACCAACCGGAGTAGGCTACTTCGTTTCTGGCCTTATCATTTATTCAAACCGAGTAGCCTAATCCGTTTCTCTCCATTAATTACCAAACGGATTAAGCTACTTTGTTTCCTTCTTTATTTTTTTTTATTTTTTTGATAATTTTCTTAATCATTAAATGGTTCCACCTTCACTTTTTTGTTCCAATTTTTTTGCTTTAAACCTTTCCAACTTTTTTTATTATAAAAATTTTTTATTATAAAATTTTTAAAATTTTTAGTTTCACAATGCAATCGATTAATTTTTGTTACTTATAAATAAATTATAAAAAAATAATTTGATTACAAAATAAAGAAAACTTACATAAAGAAAATATAGATGCAAAAAAATATACTATAAAAAAATTAAAAATAAGACTACTATTTATTGACTATAAGTGAACTTTATACAACGAAATTAAAAGAAGAAGAAAAAATAAAAGAAATTTATTGATAGAGTACATATAATTCATTCATAAAAAAAGATTACAAAATACAATCCATGACTAACTTATTTTGTGAATTTAATAATACATAAACTCAAACGTAACTAAAATCCATGACATAGCTATTCCTCGTTGCGACGTCTCCGTGGTCGATAGTCCATGTTATTCGACCGCGGAGGTAATACCACTAACGATACTCAGGTGTGGCATCCAACATCCCAAATTCCATAGGCACACGTGCAGCGTAACGTCCATCCCATACATCTAAATACTGTCTCTCACTGTCACCAATCTCCATAGTGTTCGACTTAATGTTATGTAGGTGTCGATCATACACAACATCTAGAGGAACGCATTGGCGGGCACCAAACTGTCTGCAAAATCGATCTGGATAGTACATCTCCAGAACATAGTCATAGATCAAAGGAATGCGTGATATCCATATTCGGAGTCCATCTAATCAAAAGGGTGGTAGGGTTTTGAGATTTGGATACGGCATCCAAACAAACTGCATACATAAACAAGCAATACAATAGACATTTAAAATAAAACATGTATGCATAACATTGTGATGTTATTAGTACTTACCTCTCCCTCGAGCAACCTATCTAACTGGTCCTTATATACTCGTAAGGAGTGTGTTGTACAATCTGACCACCGATGATAACACATCCATCTACAAGTGAAGGATTACACATTAACATGAATAAAATAAACTAAGTGAATTCATGATAGGCATAAAGAAATTATAAATACCTGACTCCGTATGGGACATTAACCAGTTGCTCCAATGGTACAACGCCCCTAGGTCTAGTCATGGGGAGACATTCCCATGCCCAAAGCTGTAACAGGACAAGACACCCTCTAATTTGCGCTACATGTGTCATGCTAGCACGACACATACTACGATACAAGAAACTAAGAACTGCAGAACCAATGGCACGACCCCGCACTAAGTTTGTGTCACCCATGATTACCTCCAATAGATACAAATTAACCTTATTTCCCGTCGTGTTGGGAAATAAGCTACCACCCAACAACTTGAACATAATAGCTCTATCATGTTGTAGGTAATCAACATCTACACTATGATTTGTCAATGCCTTCGGAACAATTGCAGACATCTTAATCATAGAAGATGCAATATCAGATGCTTCACGTCTAAATCCCACCATGTCGTCACATATCTGAATCCACTGATCCTTTGATCGACCAGTGATTCCCGCCAATGGAATGCCATCTTCGGGCAATCCAAGCAAAACCTCAACATCTTGCAACGCAATTCCCACCTCTCCCAAGGGAAGATGGAATGAATGGGTCTCGGGTCTCCATCTCTCTACTAAAGAAGTAATCAAAGCCCAATCCAACTGTAATCCACCAACTTTCTCTACCCCATAAAATCCATAATCTTGTAAAATCTCTATTACACGAGGTGGTCTATTAGCAACAAGAGTCTTCGTATATAAACTAGAACAAGTCCTATGACACTTTAAGATCACTTTAACATATTCTTCGCTAGCCCATACCGCATCACACCTGTGTTCTCCGGGTTCAAGAACTAAAACGTGTCGTGAAATAGGTCCCGGATGAACATCCATTTGCTTCAAAGATTACAACATTACAATTTATTAATTTAATAATAATTCATTTGGTTCAAAGATTACAATATAACAATTTATTCATTTAATAAAAGCAAAACAAGACAATTATAATAAAAAACTCATAAAATAACTAAATATGTTAAAAATTATCTTACAATCTCAAAATAAAAAAAATTCCAAATATTTTTCAATATTTTAAGAAATATTAAATCTATTATAAGAATCAAATTCAAAATCTTTGAAAGTAGATAACAATTAGAATAAAAAATTTCATGAAGTTGGTATAAATTCTATATAATTTATGAGAAAATAGATTATGAATCTCAAATTTTCATAAATAAGTATACATATCTCAATATTTTCTGATAAATGTTTATATAAATTAAGTCAAATTTAGAAAATACCTCGGAGTAGCTTAGTGTGATCGTGTCCGGCGATCTTCTCCCGGCGGTATTCCTCCGATCTCATTCAGGCGGTCTCTCTTCCTCCGGTTTCTTTTTGTTTCCGTGTGGGATGAATGGATAATGAGTGGATGGGGGCGCTCCAGAAAGGAGACGGATAGGTTTTTAATGGAGACCTGAACGGAGTAACTCCGTATGGGTTTAATTAATTAGTAAAATTTAATTAAACCCATTTCAATAAATAATTCTAGGACAAAGGGATCAAGTAACTCCGTATACACTTTATTCTGGACGAAGTTGAGGGGTCGACGGCAGCGCCACCGCAAGTCTTCTCCCGTCCCAAGGCGGCGGTCAAGCTCCCTCTCGCTCACAGTGCGGACTCTTTTACCAGTGTTGATTTCACGGTAGCGCCTAAGCTCCGGTTCCACCGCTTCACAGTCGCCAGGCGCGCCGCCTTGGAGGTGAGCTCTTCATCCTCTCGACATTCTCCAGATTAACTGCTTCCGTGTTCCGATTTTGCAATTTCTGGATTTGTGAGCAATTTGATCATTTGAATTGTGTTTTGTCATTTTGTTCTTAAATCATAATCGAATTAGTTTCTGGCGATTTTTAATCTGTTTTACTGTAATTTATTATCAAATACCTCGACCATATTCGATTCAATTGATTGCCTTGCAAAAGGTGTATATTCAAGTTCTGCATCTTCCTAAAACCCTACCTATGCACTTTCTTCTGGTGAGTTAGCTGGTGTTTGTGTATTGGCAATGATCAATTAATCTGCCCTCATAGATCACTTACAATACTTGAATTATGGTTGGTTTAACTCTTGAATGTGATCTCAGTTTTTGATATTATACTCATACTTTCTCCCTCACAAAATAGGTGCAACACTTGGAATTTCAGGCAATGCACAAACTAAATCATTACTATCTTTGATTATGTTCTAATATAAATGATAAAAAAAATTTGACATTGTGAAATTTTGTATCGAGACAATCTCACAAAATCATCTCACATGACTATATTCTTCCTTACGTATAGATCACAAGAGATGGTCAAATGAGAGAATGCAAATAGTATAAAAGTCCTAGTGTTGCATGTATTTTTGCCTTTGTGTCGCAAACGGTTACTGTAATCAGTTATCCACTTTGAGCTTTTGGTGGTGTCACAATGTGATGTGTCTTCTTTGCAGTTCAAGGTGATGTAGAATGGAAGCAATCACGTCACACACTCTATCCGTTTTAAAGAATGAATTCTTTAAAGGGTCGTTTTTGTTTGCGAAAGAATCCTTCTCTACCATGAAGTGGACTATTAGACATCACCCTACTTTGCAATCTTTAAAGCATGGTGAAAGGATGTGGCCTTGTCTTAAAACTAGGTAACTACGAATTTGAGATTTTCCTTTCTGTGTGTCTCCAAAGAGTCATCTTGCATGTCTCCTTAGGCTGATCGATCTAAAATCGAACGGCCAAGATCCCCCCGAGCCCACACTCTGATCCTTGGGCAGAGCTAAGGAGGCTGAGGGCTCCCGCCCAAAAATAGCATATATACACACATGCACGCAACATGCATGTGAAGAATAAATTCTTTTTATGGGTCAGAGTATAATCTACAAACATTATGTGCAAATACGTTTTTCCTCGAGACCCCTCATTTTACCCACCACACCGTGAACAGCCATCCAGTTTCTGATTTTGACCCACAGACCCCAACGAAGTTGGGATTCTACTGGGTTGTTGTACATTGCACTATTTAAAGGTTGGTACCTGCACAATTTGAATGACACACAATACTATTTTTTCTTTGCGTGGTATGTTTTGTACAGGCCATGGGGCAGAGGACGTGATACAGGTGTAGTATTTGTTCTGGGCACAGGCAGAGTGCCGAGTGTTGGTGGTCAGGATAGCTCCAATGGTGACGACAGCAGTGGTGGTGATGGTGGTCTAGGTGGTGGAACCCGTTTGGGAAGGATAGTTGGTTCAGGGGGCAGAAAGCTTCTGGAGAAACTCAATTCGACCCGGAAAAATTTCCCGGTGAAGGTATTTCTGATTCTACTAGGATTCTACACTGCAAATGCATTGTCTACAATCCTAGGACAAACCGGGGATTGGGATGTATTGGTAGCCGGCATAGTTGTTGCAGGGATAGAGGGAATTGGCATGCTAATGTACCGGAAACCACCTTCTCTTCCTACCAGGAGGCTTCAATCTCTGGTAGGGATGGTGAACTATTGGAAAGCTGGTGTTTGCTTGGGCCTTTTTGTAGATGCTTTTAAATTAGGAAGCTGATTGATTCCTTTGATCTTCATTTTTTTTGTAAAGGAGAGATTTGATCATTGCTTTTTATCATTACTAGCCCTTCCATTTATATTTATGGCATGTTTGGGAATAGCTTTAGAGATTAGTATTAGCGTTTTGACAATGCTATCTACGGGCAGTGTTAAGCGTTGACATTTTCAAAGTAATCTGCACCGTTAAAATTTTATCCAAAATACTTCCGCTAATCTCCAACGCTATTTTCAAACGGGCCCTTAATTGATCATTTGTGACCTTTGTTATGCACCAAAAAAGTTGAATGAATGGGGGAGAGAAGTTGGGGAATTTGTTTTGACAAACAAATGGGGACATGTTAGGGATTGTATGTTGTGAATGTTTGTATGTATCTAGTTTTATTGGGTCAAAACAAGAGTCATTTGCCTTATTATTGGTGGTAATAAAATTAGTGGTGACAAATTTGAAATTTTTTTATGGTGTAGGTTAAATTTAAATTACTCATATTAAATGCTATCAGCAGAGAGTGATTTTCAGAAGTTTAAAATTGAACAATGAAGCTTATGTAAAAAAGAAAGTTTTATGTGGCTAGTTTGGATGTGTACCCAATCAGCAACTTCTATCTTTTAAGGGTAAAGTGGTAAAGTGTGGATGTAAATTGTAAAGTTGGCATACATTTTAACTTCTTTCGACTCTACTTTTTTTTGTAGTATTACCGACTTTATTACAATGTAATATCTGTTCTTATTTTCTCAACCTCATCGCACACAAAAAGTCAATGTCTTTGCATCCGTTGAGAACCGAACATGTGTGAATTTTTCCATAAATCGTGTAAAACGATTTTCTTGTCATTCAAGCCAAAGAAAAATTTTTAGGGCCTGTTTGGGAATAACGTTAGAGATTAACATTAACATTTTTTATGAAATTTTAATTATGCAAATTACTTTGAAAATGCTAACGCTAAACGCTACCCGTAAATAACTTTTTCAAAATGTTAACGCTAATCTCTAACGCTGCTCCCAAACATGCCCTTAAACTCTACTTATTTATTGCATTAAGTTTGTACTCTATAGTTTTTAAAATTAATTTTTTATCACAAATAATTTTAATCAAACATATTATAGTGAAATGTATGGAAAAATACATATCAATTGAGAGCAATTTTTGGGTGGCACATGGAGAGGGACAGTGATAGGAAACAAAATGTTAGTGTCTCTTTTGAGTTTTCGTTACACAAAGAGCTAAAAGTGGGTGTTATTATTCTCAAAGAATTGGCAAACCGGCAAGGTGGGAAATTGATTTCTTATTCACTATGTCGTGCATACTATTTTCTTCTGAAAGAAAAAAATATAGTGAATTATGAATACTATTTTCTCTTAACTCTTAAAATAATTTTTTTTTTAAAAATCACATGAATGGAATATATCATGACACATAATTTTACACGTTTTCCTAAATTCTAGTACATGTTTTCTTTTTTTAAATGTCCAAAATTAATTTCATACTTTTTTTAAAATTTTATTAGAATGAAATACATGACACATAATCTTTATTTCTCTACTATTTAAATTTCAACCACAAATTTTATGATTTTCACAATTTTGTAAAATTCTGTAAAATCAAACACTGAAATTTAGTGGCATTCTCGTCACATCACTCTACCGATATCACCGCAAGCGTAAAACTTTTTTTATGGGGTGAAAGAGTAGATGTGTGGTAACTAGAGGTGGTAAACTGGTAATAGACCACGAACTTATAATATTGGTAATTAAAGGTGATTAAGACTAAGAGAATTAGGGTAATCTCAAGATGTACATTGATTTCTCTAGAACATGGGAGGAAGTTTGTCATGGGGGTTTGGCTCCCTTGATCTCCATAAGTATATACCCTCCAAGCTTGAAGAGGGGATCACAAATTCAATGTACTAAAGTGCTTATTTTGGCTTCATCTCACCTAATTCCCTATTTGAGAGATCATTTTACTGCATCTGATATAATTTCTGTGAATAAAATCTATTATTTGGTGCTTTCATTGAGAGAAAACATATATACCATCATACATGTTCAATGAAGATCAACCGCTGCAACTAAGTCACGGAACACAAACAACAAGAGGTAGGGCTACTACCGACAATGGTGCTCCTAAGACAAGTCATTCTACGAGAGGGCCTAATCAAGCCAACCCTTAGGCGATAATTGCGGTAGATTCCCATCGGGCACACTTGTGATGTACTCTGGCTACACGGGACCGCGAGTTTTTTTAGACGCGACGATGAGCATGTTGCTTGGACTAGGTTTTGTCTAGCCCACTACCTACAGTTCCATCAATTGTCAACGATGCCCTTCATCGAATTGTCATATTTGGACACGTAGTCAAAGTGGGCAACATAATTTATCCCCTCTGTTCCAGTGTATTTATTCAGTTTGATTTTTTTTAATGTAAATTAGTATGAAAATAATCTTCTTATATTTATCTTGTTAAGAATATTCAGAATTTTATTTTATTGTGCTAAA